CTTGCACAATTATACATGATTAAAGATCGAAATCATTATCAGTTCAACAGAGCAGACTCAGTCAATGCATATGTGTTTATTTTGTAAAAAACTAATAATTATACAGGGTGAGTTTCTACTGACCGTGTTAACTTCGCCAGTGGGTTCTACTCACTAAAAGGAACAAAAAAGTTCCTATAAACCCATGTCCGATTTTCGACCGTTTGGCTGTTTTGGGGGATTTTGTGTTTTTCTTATTTTATTAGACTTTGCTCCACAATTTATGTAATAAAAACTTAACCAATTACTTTAGAGAGTTATAGTTAAAATCATTGGAAAGAACATTAAATTTGCTATAAATCAAAGGTTTCATTCAACAATTATACCATTACATAGTCCACGTTGTAACCAAAATAAAGTAAAAATGTCATTAAATTAATTAATTACGATAATTTTCATGGGCCTCCTTTGATACATAAACCTGCATTTATGCAATGTTGAAATGCATAAAAACTTGGCATTTTAATAATCTTTCAAATGATATGCTATTCAATACTATTATTGATATAAACCAGTGAGAAATTACTAATAAACTACAATAAAACACGGTATACAGATTTTGTTTTTGCACAGTTTTACTGTTAATAATAATTACTGTATACTCCATGATGTATTTTATTGAACTATCTGATAAAATTTGTACATTATTTTAACTTTTAAATATTCATTAAAATTATCTGAATTAATAAAATGTATAAACTCAAGGTTTTTCACATTTTCAAAGATGTAGTGTGTTTGATTCTTAAATGCTGTGTAATTAGTTTTACCTTGTGCTTGATTAAGTCAGCTTTTATTGATTTGTCATCTATAGCTAGATAACTCAGCTGTTTGAACTCTTGAACATACCTTGTTGACTAATTTGCTCTTTTAACTTTACATTTCCAAGTCAATTAAGAGTTTTTCAACATTTATTAAAATATGGAGCCTTTTACCAATCAAGATTATGCCAACATGATGAATACAGTAATTATTATTAACAGTAAAACTGTGCAAAAAAATCTGTAAACCGTGTTTTATTGTAGTTTATTAGTAATTTCTCACTGGTTTATATCAATAATAGTATTGAATAGCATATCATTTGAAAGATTATTAAAATGCCAAGTTTTTTATGCATTTCAACATTGCATAAATGCAGGTTTATGTATCAAAGGAGGCTCGTGAAAGTTATCGTAATTAATTAATTTAATGACATTTTTACTTTATTTTGGATATAACGTGGACTATGTAATGGTATAATTGTTGAATGAAACCTTTGATTTATAGCAAATTTAATGTTCTTTCCAATGATTTTAACTACAACTCTCTAAAGTAATTGATTAAGTTTTTATTACATAAATTGTGGAGCAAAGTCTAATAAAATAACAAAAACACAAAATCCCCTATTACAGCCAAAAGGTTAAAAATCGGACATGGGTTTATAGGAACTTTTTTGTTCCTTTTAGTGAGTAGAACCCACTGGCGAAGTTAACACGGTCAGTAGAAACTCACCCGCCTACTTTCATACTTTCAAAGATTTATTTTATATCTGGCACATAAAAAACTAAACTTATAAACAAGTTAAAGATACATAAAAAAAGTGTGTTACTGTTCAGAAAATATTGTAGTTAAATTACCTTAAATTTTAATAGTTAATACATAAAAATAAAAGAATGATTTGTTATCGTATGGAGAAATGTACAAAAATGCTTCAACAAATCCCCACCTTTATTAAAGATTTTATTTTATCCTTGACTTTAGAATTACACTGTTCGTTGAAAATGTCAAAGTGAATTTTTGGAGTCTTGAACAAATTTAATCTGACGCTCTTTTAGCGAATTTCCCTATAGGGAAGTAGCTATTACCGTAGGTGGCACGGTAAGACATAGACCCGAGACCAATTTACTTTTTCATTTTGATGTCCCCAGAGGCCAAAAACACCATTCGTTCAAATTTTTATATATGTATATATATATATATAGACATATATATATATACGTCCGTGAACGCGATAACTTGAGTAATTTTTGTCCGATTTTGATGAAATTTGGTTTAAAGGTGTAAAGCGGGATAAAGGAGTTCGCGAACCAGCATGATCGGACCATGGGAACGGGGCTTTACGGGGGGTTTTATGGGGTAAAAATTGGTTTTTCTCACTTTTGACCCTCAAAACACAAAATTTCCCAATTTCTCTATTTGTTTATGGAAATATTTTGTATTTTGATCAAATTTATTTATTTTGTACTAAGCTATCAATATTTTACAAAAAAAACACACTTTATTAGTTTCCTTGTAGCAGCAAACCTAGGTACTCGTTAAACCTAATGTTATTAAATAAAATATATTTAATTGAAAATCAATTAAGACAAATGGAAATTCGCTTAGTCGGCAGGTTTGCTGCGGCGGGGGTATTTCTCTTATGACACGGAGATACTTTCTTGCTTCTTAAACTTTAAGCAGGGAAGAAACTCTCTCGGCTGACTTTGTTAATCTTACAGTGATGTCAGAGTTGCCAGGTTCTGTGTTTGAGGATGTTCTACTGCAAGGAATACGTTAAATAAAACCTTGTGATCTAAATAAAATTTTGTTCCACTCTATAAGCGGTGAAAGGCTTACATTGTTAAATTGTTTTTAAAATTTCAACCACAATAATTTTTGTTTGTATTGTACTCTGTATAGATTATTTGAAATATTGTATCTAATTAACTCCCAATTAATTTATGTCTATACAAAATACATAATTTCATACTATGTTACATTTTCTTAGTCAACATTTTAAAGCCTTTAACTTAACTTTCTTTCAATAAATGTAAAGTCAATTTAATCTATAAATAATTTAACTATTACGAATATTTTATATTCCAACACACTACTGTAAGTCTTAAAATATACTGTACCAATTTATCCAACCGTGTTAGATGGGACGTTTCTTTTCGTCAGGAATTTCAGATATTCGCCGCTCCTTTACACGACAAGGCTTACGCTGAATTAAATTCCTAAAAAGAAATATGTTTTCCACGTGTTAAAGGCCTTTTTAAGCACACAAGGGTGTTTTTATGAGACACACTATATTCAGGACATCTTTTTAGTTTGTTTAGATTAATAGGGTAACCATTATTTAACACTTACATCAGATTATTTGTAATATAATAAGTATTATTAAAACTACCATTTAAAACATAAAGGTAGTGTAAAACATAAAAGTGCATGATAGAGTTACAGAAATAATCCATGAAGGGGTCATTTAAATGAGCCAATCAGTATTAAAGTTTACAGGCTTATAACAATAAGAGAGCTTATAACAGTAAGCTTTTGTTAAAAAAAAATTTGTAATTAACGTTAAAGGTTATTAGGCACCCATTTAATTTTTTTTATATCGATGTTTTTATACGATTGTTTACATCATGAGGATAAGTGTCTAACAGGTAGGCTAATCTGTTTTAATTATAATTTCAACCAACCCAAAGTTAAAATACTCCAAATATAAATTTAAACACTTAATAAGTAATATATCTCTCATTGAGCCCTATTTAAAAATGTATAGTGGCTTGTAAAACTTTCATTCAGTATCTCCCATCAGGATTATAAAGTATTTTACCAAAAGAACGTTTATTGACTTCGTGGAGTCTTACGGCAGGTTTCACTCACGGAACTTGTACATTATTCAGTAGGTTATCGCCTTGTGTATACAAGAATATTTAACCACTAGCGTTACGTTCTTAGTTCCTTTAGCTCGGAGTTCAAGAGAATCATTCACTCTTACTATAATTTAGATTATGGTGCCAAAAGAATTCATCATGTTAATGTCACTTTTTTTGGGAGATAACAGATTTGTAAAATTTATTTTACTAAGTGTAAATTATATCGATTTCGTATAGGATTCACACAGAATTGACGATTTATGTATACCAAATGTATAGTTATGTTTATGTAATGCTTGCATGGTAATTATGGAACCCTCCTGCAGGCTCATTCATGAACTATAAGATTTTTATAGTTCGAAATTGGGCCCAGCTTGACACCGATTTGCATTTTTCTTTAAATGTCCTGCCCGGAGAACTAGTCCATATTTCCTTAAAATACGTAATTTGCTACATTCGGATCTTAGACTCCTAATGGATAGTAAACGTGATAACAGAAATTATGACTCACTATAGTGCAGTCATTGCACATATTCACCAACTTATTAATTTTGTTCTCTGTATACTTGTTTTAAAAGCGTTCAAGTCGTTAGTTGGGTGTCTAAAAAAAGTAGTGAAATGGAATCCTTACAATAAGTAAATGAGTCAATCCATGGCCTCCATGACCGTGGCGAGACGGAATTGGCAACACCGTGGTACCGGCCCAATGAAACGTTTATTGCATTAGTTTATAATCTGCGAATTTTTTGTCTATGTTTACACGTTATTTCTGTTATTACCATGGTAATAGGCCAACCGATACGATGCCTCACACCAACGCTGCTGCTTTGTATTAGAGGAGGTTATGGTTACTCTCATTCTCTTATACAAAAACCCTCATCAATATGAGATAAAGTACTGTACTTCGCTTATGTGCGACCACACATAAGTTTGCTACCCTTCGGTTGGTTTGGGTAAGGTTAGGTAAGGTTAGGTTAAGTTATCTTCCAGTTATCTTATCCTTACCTAGCCTAACCTAGGTGTGGTAACCTAACCCAATTTGGGTCTTCTCGGTATAATGCCAAAGTACCAACTTTACTATCAGTCTCGTAAATGATTGCCTACTTTTTGGATTGACATGTTCTAGTAATTGTAGAAAATGTCTGCCTGAGTGGTTTCAAGAGTTGAATAGGTGGTGCAAGTGAGGTAGATTAAGGGGTGTCTCTAAGCTTGTGGCGCACTAGTAATGTGTTTGGAACGCGACACAGGTAAAGTGGCGCAAGTGTGTAGAGCCGGACTTCATGCAAAAATATCATCCAAACAAACACAGAGTATTACAAGATAGCTTTCCGAATCCTGTTCTAGGGTGCCTGGTGACTGGCCTGAGAGACGTCCACATCACAGTTCCTAAGGCTGTACGAAGGGGTGACTCAGTCCTGCTTCACTGCCATTATGACTTGGAGGGCGACCCCCTCTACGCTCTCAAGTGGTACAAGGGACGGGCAGAGTTCTACAGATACACGCCCAATGAGAAACCTCCCACGAAGGTGTTCCAGATACCAGGACTGTCAGAGCTCAATGTGGACGTAAGCTTTTAGACTGTATCTTACGGTTAGACAATATTATATATAGACTAATTTTTAGGTTCACAGTTATGTCAAAAAATGCTTAATGAAAATGATTTTTGCACCTTTTTGAACTCATGATGTTTCCTTAATAGAATAAATTCATTTTTATTTTTTATTTATCAACCGATCTTTATAAAACTTGGTATGTAGGTTGAGGTAGAAAAGACCAATATTAGGAAACATATTCATCTTGATTTAACGTAAAATTCAAAAATGGCGGCCATTTTAATTTTTTAAACGTAAATTACTCAAAAATGGCTATTAATTATTATTTATATATACAAAAGCTTACTTGATATGTAAATTAAATAAAGTATTGGGAAAACATTATTGATTTTGTACTATGATTTACTCTTAAGCTAATGAGAATTGATTGCCAGGTATGTTATAGTTAAATATAGATTCCAGCGATTCTTAATAGGGTTTTTTTTGTAGCAGAACTATTTGCACACTGTTATCTGTTAATAGAAATATCGTTCATGTTCTTATTCAAAGTTATAGCACAAGTAAATCTATACATCTAACATTTGGAAAGTTTTTTTTTCAATTAATTTAAAAACAAAAACATTTTTTTAATGTTTAATCTTACATTTTGACTTCAACTCATTGATATCACTTGAAAATTAAGTAAATTCACTATTTTGTTTTTATGTCAAGTGTTATTTGTAAAACGGCTTACAGAGGGTTGACTGTAGCTTATCAAACATTCAATACTCTATGGACTCAAACTACAAAAGAACTTCAACAAAGAGCAGTCAAAGCCGTGAAAACTTTAAGGAAACAACTACAGAAGAAAATTGTCCTGTAGGGACAAACGACTTCGCAGTGAGGGGCTCGAGAGGATTAAATTCTTTGCACCTAATTTTAAAGTTTTGTTTGAAATACTTGTTCTTAAATGAAGTTTTATCGTCATTAGACGCTCTTATTCCCTAGTTAATTTCAAGTATCATTAAGCTCTTTGAGTAAGATAGGGGAACAGTTTAACAAAGAAAATGTCTTATGCTCTTAACTAGTTTGTAGAATTAAAACGAACAATCTCCAATTATTTCGGAAGTTTAATATCTATTTACAGATAACTGTCGTCCCATATACACCATACTAGTTTTACTAAAGACGCTCATTTTCTTGGACATAAATTTGTTTAAAATGCGTAATATTTCAAACCTGAAATATAAAACAAGATTTTAAATTTACATAGCTGCGAAAACTCTACCTTGTCACAATTTGTGAACAAAAAATTAGAATTGTCAAAACAAAGAAAATCTTACATACTATGAAGAGTTGAAACACAAAATAATACATAAAATAAAACAAATAGTGGAAAAAGAAATTGACTAAGCTCTCACTAGCTTTCTCAATTTCAAGTGAACATATTGTGTTTACGATTATTAAAATGTATTACTCTTTAACTTATTCACTACCAGGTGGCTCAGACTACTCATATATCTACTCATACAGTGTCACGACTGGTGGATCACGTGTTAAATATTATGAATTTTTAATGAACAAATTTATGAAATGCTTCTTGACGATTATAACTTCTTATTTCAGAAATCTCAGTCCAACGGGTCCCAGCTGTTCCTGCGGCAGGTGACCAGTTCTCTTAGTGGTCAGTTTAACTGTGAAGTGTCCGCAGACGCACCTTCCTTCCACACAGCCATCGTGGCCGCCAACATGGACGTTGTAGGTTAGACATTTTATTTTGTCCTAGGACGCTAGAGTTTAGCCTGGGAAAGTTTGCATTACTTCAGCTAGGCCTGAGGGTTGAGGCATTATCACTTTGATAAAACACATTAGTGATCGGCGGGATTTGGACCCGAAGCCTCCTCTACTGACTGACCAGATCGCTATAATTAAAACTTGTGCAATACGTATAAAGCAGTAGTGTGCCGTTGACTCAGAGACTGGATGAATTAACATGAGTGATAAATTATACATGCAACATTTGTAAATTAGATTTGCTGACACTACTAAATTAGTGAAGATGAAATTGAAACACGTTTAAAGAAGATTATTCATTTTGGAATTTTATGGAACGAAAACACAAAACTCACATTGAAATTAATTAATTAATTGCAACTTTATGTAAAATTTAAAAAAGTAATTATACAAAATCTAGTATCTGCACTTTCTTACGAGCTTTAAGGGAAAATATTTAATACTCTATTATCCACGGTTCCGAAACGAAGCTCAAATTTGAATGAAAGCTCTCTGAATACGACTGGATATAAATTTTACTATAAGCTATTGCGATAAAGCTTTTTTGTTATGATACCTAAAAAAAACTCGATGACTACAAAGTGTAAGAAGTTTCTAGATAGTCTCAACATTAAGCTATGGCTCACTACTGGAGATTATCAAGGAGTTTTAAGGTTTATGTGAATTTAATGTAATCTACATACGTTATAGTCTCGGTAAATAGTATGGATGAATATGAATAATGTTTATGACATAACATGAAAATAATATTGCGTAAAATATTTATGGTACTCTAATTTTGTTGTTTATCTTTATTTGCTGCACAATTATGGTTTTGTAACAGTTCCATGCAACAATTCAAAGAACCGCAATAATCTATTCTGCGTCCTCTTGCCGTTCAAAGCACGAATGTGGCGACTAGTTATCTGCACACCTAATTAAATCAAAACTCTTTCTACATATTTTAAAATATGTACACATACGTAACTTCATAGTTCGACCTATTTCATTTTTTTCAGGATTAATACCTGTGGTATTAATAATAACCCTAAATGAGCGTTTGGTTTTGAACGTAGATAGCAACTTTCAAAACAATAACAAACCAATACAACAAAGTATGTTTATATTGCACTACAATTTTACAATGGCAGCCTTACCTCCAGGGCTTTTAACGGTTATTAGTTACATCTTGAACACAGCATGTATTTGAGTAAATACCTGATCCGTATATCTTAATTTATCACAGCCTAATCAAAGCACCTTAGTAGGCTCGTTATCCTGACGACCATTTTTATCTTAGTACTCTCCGGTGCCCTAAAGTGGTTTTCTGTTTACCTTTTGTTTTTTGTTACTTCAGCTATTTAAATACTTATTTTGCCAAACAAAGTGATTTAAAAATTAACAATAGCTAGTATTCATATCTTATAACCCGAAAATTTTAGCAAGAATCATGAAGTTAACTCTATAATATGATAAACAAAATTCTGTTGACACTTGCTCACAATGTCACCAAATGAACTAGGCATAAAAACATAGAAATTTTAGAATGGGATTCCAAACTCTAATGGGATTCTAACTGCTGGTGTTAGTTAGTCAATGGTAGTATATCAATTTTTATATGTAATAGTAATGGTTGATACCCTAATCAAATAAAAATATTTTATCTCCATGTACTGTGATGACCTAAAACATAACACAATAAGCCCACTGCCAGCCATTATCAGGTCCTATAAATTTTAATGTAGCCTACTATAGCTCATCAAACTTATTGAACTGTTTATGTATTCATGGACGTCAATCTGAAAATTGTGTTACATATATCTTTTGTAACTTATATTCAACTGTGTATTTTAGAAGTACCCCGTAACCCGCCCGAGTTGTCGGGGATCAAATCCAAATACAGAGTAAGAGACACTCTAAGGGCCAACTGCACAGCTTCGCCCTCAAAACCAGCTGTGAACCTCACTTGGGGAATCAACGGTGAAAATGTAAGTTACAAAAAATATATTTAGAAACGTTTTTAAACGAGTATGAATTAATGTGTAAATCATCATATTCACCTAACATCATTTTCCAGGTTACTCGTTCAAAACGAAAGTAGGGTTTCTTTTGTATTGCTAATTATATAATTACTTCATTTAGTTTATAAGGGGTATTCAAAAAATCTGAAAATAATTTATGTAGAGATTCTTTGGGTCGATGATATGAACATATTATTGCAGAACGCAGCACTGTAGCAAAAACCATTGAAGATTTATTTGTGAATGTTTTTTGTAAAAAAATATACGTTAAGCTAAACAAAACATGATAAAACATATGTTTACATGATCAATGTTGCTTATTTTGCCCCAAGGAATCACTACGAAAATTATTACATCCATATCTGCTTTTTGGTAAGAGGGGGAATTTAAGACTAACAATTTAATGGAATATATATATATATCAGAAACAGGTGTTACTCGTGACAAGAGCACACACATGCTCACATTGAAATTTTTTTTGTCATTTCGAGGTCACGTAATATATGAGTCAGCATAAGATTATATGTTTATATGCTGTTGTTTTATATAGTTATTCGTTAGAGATTGTGACACTACTTTCTAATGGTAAGAACCATTTTCAGATATACAAGTTGTGGGTTTTATAAATAGCTTATGGATTACACGGACTTACAAACTGAAACTTTACACGAATAACACCATTTTTGTTATCTGTTTTATACTAAATAATCTTAAATAGATAACCTAAAAATACCATAAATTATGAACATTCTCATAGTGTTTAGGTTTAGACCATTTATTAAGTTTTACCTTTCTTTATTCTTAATACGCAGAAAACACGACAGTTCCGGACAAAAATCTTTTAGGTGGTTTTTCTAATTGGTGTATAACACTTAAAGATCTTTATTTTCTCTAGGTGAACCCCAAATACGTGAAGCAGTATAGACAGGTACCAGAGAGATATCCAGATCTTCAACAGTCTATGAGTATTTTGGAGGTGCCTCTGAAGGCACACCACTTTGTGCCTGGGGGTCGACTGAAGGTATTTAATTGAAACGCCTCCTTCTTTGCCACATTTCATATAAAAAAGCGCAAGTAAAGTATTTCGTTACCCACATTAATTTTGCATTGTTTTGGTAATTTCCACAGAAAGATTATCCATACAGAGTAGAATCTCAAACTATAGAGCTAAAATGCGTTAAAAGAGGTAAAAGTACAACCAAATGAAACGTCATAAAACTCGATACTATTTTAAAGTCTGAATTAAAGGATACATATTCCTAAACTTTAAACAGTCTTAAAAAAAATAGGTTTGAACAATTTTGACACTAATGTCAATATATAAAATGTAAATTATATGAACAACTATAACGGAGGTTAGGGGTTAAAATGTTTATTATGTGCAAACAAGTCTTGGATAAAAATATTAAATGTGTATCGATTAAATGTATAAGTAATGGTTAACTTATGCTTTCATAAACATATGTTCACAACATTTCAGTGTAATGTTTTCTTCAAATCCTAGTTGTTAGATGTTATGTTGGGATGAATTTAATACGTATTGAACTTATTCAGGTAAGGTGTACAGCAAGTTTGTACGATCTTTACTGGCAAACCACGGAGAAAGGAGCAGATGAAGAAGGAAGACCGACAGACAAGATGGCGGCTGATAAGGCTTATAACGAGGTCAAGGCAAACTGGGATGATTATGAGGACGATGAATATGGTGATCAAAACAACTTCATTATAGGAGGTTGGTTTAATAATTTACTATACTTAACTCATATACTACGCAGTTATTATTGATAATTACGCAGCAATTTCTATCTAACTGTTTTCCATTCAACTATTTTCGAATGGTTCTTACATACTTAGCGTTTGCTCTCGTATATGTTTGATTGAATTGGAGTTGCATGTGAAGTTTGAAAGGTTACTCTTGAGCATCAAAAAAAATATTATTCCTGTATGCTTTAGGTTTTTTATGTAAATATGTATTAACAAATCGGAACTGTTAAAATCATTGATAGGCTATGGAACACAATTCAAAATGTCAATCTTGAAAGTATTAAAGGTAAATTAAAAGATGTAAGATCTCAAAGAGTCATCGCTTTTAAGAAAGCATCCTTTGTTTGAGTATAAAACGAAATGACTACGAATTAATGCAGGATGGTTCATGAAAGAATACTTTTAGTGACAATTTACCTGTAAGTATTATTTTGAGTTCCCATTATTACTGAGATAAAAGTATGCCAGCGGTGTTGACAAGTTTCTATGGAACAAGAATACCCACTAATGACATGCTATTACCATAGACAAATATACTTAAACATAGACTAACAGCAGTTTTGTGGTTAGAATAAGTTCTGGCATCCACCACTAGGAGCGCGGGCTACACGGTGCTCCCAGCGGTGGATGCCAGAACTTATGCTAACCAAAGCACTGCTGTTTGTCTATATTAATTTGTCCATCACTTATACAGTATCAATACTACTGTACGATGAAATTTCATAAGTATTTGTAGTCAGTAACTGCACTGTTTAATTAATTATTTCTTACTTTTCAGCATTTCCAACACCACCAAGTGACAATGATCTCAGAAACTCCGCTCCTTTTGTGTCTTCCACTTTTGTCTTGATTGCCATTGCATTGCTGCGGTTATAAGTCTACAATTTAAGGATGCAACATAAAGAATCCTTCTTCATTATATGCAAAAACGCTTGAATGCAGCTAACGTAGAATCTATCGAATGGAAAATAAATTGTGGTGTAAAGCACTCAAGCGAATTGCTGTTGGTTTGTAACATAACATTACAGCAATAAACTGATAATTGAGATCAGTAATGCTTAAATAATTTAGTACTTGGGTACATTTAACGCAAAACTAGTTATAAAATAAAAATTTGCTAAGTAAGTGCATTATAAAGTGAATAAAGATGTAAAGATGCTTTTGTACTCAAATCTTAAAACCGAATGTACATTCTAGTTATTAAAGTATATTTTTAATACTCATGTAAAAATACGATCTTTAGTTGTATACCCTTTAAAATACCAAATAGAGCCTTTTACATTTTTTTACAATATTCTTCCAAAAAAAGATTAATTTCCTAATTAAGACAAATTATTAAATAAAGAAAAATTATTTTCTTTATTTTTAAATTACGATTTTGACTTTATTGAAAGCAATAATCAGTTAATAATGTAATAATTATTTACAGAATATTATCGTACACTTATTTACCCGTTGAATGTGAATAATAACCTTTACATACCTGAAAAGTCTTCCTACATTGTTCATACATATCTACTATGTTCATCCTGTGCTTCACATTCACAAAAAGAAGAACAACTCTCATGATTAACATAAATATATATTTTTTAGATACTCGCATAGAATATGAGGTAGTAAGTATTACCTGAATTATTTTACATTTTTAAGACAAAATTAAATTTCCATTATTTTTCTTTATTTTCTTCTACAAAAACTAAACTACAAGGGTTTAATTTCCTGTATATATGTAAATGGTTCAGTAATTACGTGTAAAGACGAATTGAGGAATTGTAAAAATAAAAGTTAGTGGCCAAATTGTCGTTGACGCTTAACATATCTGTGGTGTTAGCAGATGTAGATTTTGTAACTGGCAGTTAGATTAGTGTTGTTTGAAATGTCAAACGAAAGGTTGTGGTTACCTTCATTGTAACTGTGTTGAGCGGAATAAAGTGTCTTGATATGACTTTTTTGCCTCTGATTTCTCCTAACTTTGGGTAGTTTTTAAAAGATTTTTTTAACAAAACTTTACAATTAAGTAGACATACAACCAGTACTTAGTAGTACTGGTAATGTACAAGTAATTTTTGTGTAAAACGTGGATTTTTGTGCAAATGTCCTAAGAAGGTTGATGACTAAGATCCTAAGATCCTAAGATGGTTGAGCTATATGGTATATTTATCACAAATTCAGAATAGCAGGATTTTAACAGTTCTTAAATCATTATTTGCAATCGATACTATTTAAAAGCCTTAGTAGCTTTTTACTGTGGCCCTTGTATTTAGGCATTTACTAAATGAACACAAAATATGTTTATAAACTCTTTTTTTAATAAAAATTCATAAAATAAAAAATCTAAAAATGTATTTCAGTTTGTATGAGCTATGCCCCTAGTGCTTTAAAAGCAACACCTGCAGGTATTGGCTGTTAGTTCTATGGACATTTTATGTAAATCGTGTAAACAAAAACTATATCAATTCTATCCTGTGATTCTGAAATTACTTGAAGTTATAGGTATAAACCAACTGTTAAAAACTATGTATTTTTACCAAGGTTGGAATGGAAATTATTATAAAGGAATGAAAGTGTTCTAGATCAATTGTTTGTGATGTTTCATAATGTCATACTAACCATTGTACATAGTGGAATTGAAAATTGTGTAACTACTAAAATTACAACTGTAATATATTTATTTAATTAAATTGTAATAGTCTATATAAGTACAAATTGATAAGTACGCTAGACAAATCTAGTGTTTTAACTTAAAGTATATTAAAATGACAACCTACTACAACGAAAAACATTTTAGTTATTACGTTTAAGAACTAACTTGATTTTTATCAACAAAATTGTTTCCAAATTTATAATGTAAAATTAACACAGTACAGCCAGTGTATGTGGATAAAGTATTCATTTTAATTTTCTAAGGAATTTATTATTGATTATGCAGTTGTTTATTTTAAAACATATTAAATAAATGCAAATCTTATCAAAACATTTAAATACTCTTTATATTTATAAACACTGTCAACAAACCATTGCCGTTAAAACAAAATTCAAACGATGATTTCTATTTGAAGAGAAGAAGGTTGTTTTCCTGAGACGACAAAAAGAAAGCTTTGTCCTCCTTAAACTTCCAGCAGTAAAAAATTCCTTCAGTTTACTTTTCTGATCGTCTTATTTACTGTCGGGTGTAAGAAAAAATGTCTGAAAATATCCTTTGAAAAGAGATTTCGTGTTTTAATTTATAAATATGAAGCTGTGAGATATTAAATTTGAAAAATGTTACTAAAAATATTTTCTTGCTTATAATATTTAACCCTAATTACTCTAAACATAGTTTTAATGTTATATAGAACAAAATACCACATTTAATAGAACAAAAATTTTGGATAGCCCTTAAGTAAAGCAGGAGTTATTGGAAAGTATTGGCTCCCCGTTTTAAATATAGATTAAACATAGGTGAAATTGTTTTTTGTTGCATAATTATTTACACTTACTTTTTATCACCTCACAAAGTCTTTTTCCTTAATTGTTACGGAATATTTAATTTTTAAACAATTTCTTAGTTACATTTATGATGAATTTTGTAATGTAACGCTTTAATAAATAAGTTTTATTATTGCTTATTTAGATACTACTTGTATCCAAATATACAAAAGAATTCAATCTTTCAATGATTCTAACAGAGACAATGTATTATTTTAAAACCATTTTATGATACAAGTGCTTATAGCTGTGTGTGGAGATCCCAGTTTTATAGCTGTTCTGTGAAGTACAAGAACCATATATGAAACAACAAGAAGAAACTACACAAAGTGGTTACTTCACTAAAGGTAAGGATGCTGACGTTGAAGTGTCTAACGGCAGGTTTCACTCACGGGTCTTCTAAATTATGCACAAGGTTATTGCCTCGTGTGTAGAGCACAAGAATAGTGTATCCTTTCCGTCGATAGTTCTGCTTTATTTACCAAAACGTTTTCTGACTGTTTCCTTTGTTTGGAAATGCACTCCAATTTAATGTGTTAGTACGTTTTATGCCATTTATTTAAGTTTTTGGGGACAATACAAACGTTTTGTTATTTTCTAAAGTTACTTACTTGCTCTTACTGCCAGGGCCACGCACAGTCGCACATCTATGGCCATATTTTACTAGACCAACAACACACTACCATCCTTCTAGATCTTCTGCAGATTCCTCTGTTGCTTATATCCGCTCAATTTATCCCTTCATTTGTTTCCACGATGTTGTGCCGCCCCTGTTAGTCTTATTCATTCAGGGTTCTTCATTATAACTAGTTTATTATAGTTAAATAATAATAGATGAAAATTAGAATTATCTTCCTCTCTTTGTAAAACAAGCCAAGTCCATCTAACACTCGAAATATTCACAAATTACACCAGGATCTTTATGTAATTCCATTAAATGTTATGCTCGAAAGAAATTTAATTAAAAACAGTTAGCATCATAAAATGCTACCTAGTGCACCCAAAAAACATCTGGGTCTAGAGTTATCCTTTATTGTAGTTAAACCAGCAACATTTCAGCTTAGAAACACCTTTACGTTGCAGTTGACGCAAACGGGTCGCCGGAAGACTGTCCCCCGGAAAGCTACCCCCCCCCCGCCAAGCAGGTTCCTGCGTCATATTGACGTCAGAGACCGGGGGTGGCAGTTTTCCAGTCACGGACACTCAAATTTAGTTGTCAAACAGTTCTAATCTAACCCTAACCTAACCAACCAAACTTGCTGTAACATTTCGAAAATCTGTTTTAAATTCACCTTTTCTATTATCCAACGGAATTACTCGAATTAAAATTACATAGCATGATTTGTCAAGGGGGGGGGGGTAGTATTCCAGTCGCGGACACGGCTTCCATATTGGTTAGTTAGCAGATTTTGTGATGTCACGTTTCACCTGGGGGGGTAGTTTTCCGGGGGATAGTATTCCGCATCCCCACGCAAACCTATCCAATTCATTGTAAAATATAAGATTAAATAAATTTCAACAATTTAACGTACTCTAAAACGAAAAAAATATGTTTACTAGGTTTTACTATTGAATTAAACTATAACTGATATCCTAATGCTGCTAAACTGTAATCAAACCAATTTTGGAAGTAAAACTACATTGATTAAATACTTATTGTGTTCAGAAATGTATATGGTCACACAAGAGTCAAGTATTGTCTAAACCTCAGAGGCTCGTCTGTGTTTCACACCGTAAGATCAAAGCAGACCCAGTCAAACAGTGTCTGTTGTAAGGCCTGACTTGTTCAATAAAGAGATGACCACATCCCTCTACTGCATGTCATTGGACTTGTCTCTTTGATTCAAAAAATGTATTACATTCTACATTTAATGTTTTTGAATATTAGTTTCAATCATGTGAGTCGTTAGAAGTGATTTTAAAGAAAGTAGATTTAACTTTCTCTATCTACTTTTGAATTTTTACCAAAGTTCGAAATGGAACATCAAGATTTCGAGACAACTTACTATCTGGTATCTGATCTCACTTGAGGACGGGATCAGATTTCAGGTTCCGAAACGTTGGATAAATTTGTTGAAACTTTAACTTTGTTACAGGACAGGAAGATCCTATTTTTTTATAAAATCTCGTAATCACCCGAGATAAGATACCAGATCCTAAAGCGGCGTTAAACACTGTTTATCTAATCATCAAGGAAAAAGTCTTTAATAATTCCTTAAAAACAAAATAGGCCATTATATCCTACCGGTTCGGTTGAAATTTATTTTAAATTCAACGGGTTCCCTAAATAGTTTACATATAACTATTGTCGGGACCACATAAGTTTGCAGTTGAGGGAGGAGCCTATTTACCATATGGTTCTGAATGAACCAATGAGAACGGTGCGGTGTTGCCAAATCTAATAATACCAGCTGATTTGAAAATATTGCTTTTATATTTTAAACAGTGTTGTCAATGGGCGATGTGGCAACGTCGCACTAGCCTTGTCTTGTGATTGACTGCCACCAACTGCAAACTTACGTGGTCCCGACAATAAGTGTATATGGAATTAAATAACTAAATATACAACTAGTTTATAAAATTGTAAAGGAGATTTTCACGCAACCCAAGTTACAATTACCATCAGACACAAAACCAGCTGATGTGTTGGTATCCCTGTGTTCTTTATTTCATTGCCAATCAGCTGATATGCATTGTTGCCTGGTTATCTATAAGGATTAGTGTTGTTTGGAATTCACTATAAATAAGAATCAACATGGTATTATTTCAAGCTCAAAGGGTATGTATGCCATTGTAGAA